CAGGTGGTGATTTCAGCAGCTAAATCCTTTTGATAATATCAGGATGCCGCCCGCTTTAAATTTTAAATTGGATGAGATAAGTCGTATTATTTAAGAGTGAGATAAGCTTCATGGAGTGGGGTTGAAGAGAGAAACCTTGAATGAAGATCACTGTGACCTTTTTAATAATGCCACTTGTGGTTGTAAAGAACAGAGCTGTGTTATGTGCTGTATTAGTGAAGTTTTTTTTAAAAAAAAAAGAGTTGTGGATTGCTTGCTTCATAATATGGCCAATAGCAGCCAAGTAGGAGGGATGCAATTTTTAATCCACTGGATACTTAAAAAATGTAATTGTCCCCAAATAAAGTTATCTGCCATTTCATCTCTTAGCAGTTTACAACACAATCCTGTGCATATCTACTCAGCGATTAGTTCCGTGGGGTTTACTCCTGAGTATGAATATACAGGATTATAGTACTAATTTCCTTTTCATAAAAAAAAGAAGCAAAATGCAGCTCAGAGTTAAGTGACATATTGGGATGGTGTGTGTTATACTGGAGTTTGACAGTTTCCATCATCTGTTAGCTGATGATGGTGTCTTGTGGTACACTTCATTCATATTTAGTGGATAGGATTTTATTATTTATATTATTATTTGGGACAACTAAAAGAGAATTTATGAAGCTCAAAACAGGTTTTGCTGGTTTACTTCCTGAGATGTCCAAGCGTATTTCATTTGTCCACTTTAACCTCTGTTCAAACAAGCTTTGCGGGTTTTTGGAACTATTCTCTCCTGCTGTATTTCCCTATAATTATCTACAAAGTTTAGGGTGACTAGACCCAAAACTGGACTGAGCTCTTGCTGCACCTTCAGTAGTGTGTCACCAAGTGTAGTTCACATTGTTTTATGAAGCTATACTTGTTGTATGTACATCTACACAACTTGTCAAAATGCAGGAGCCCTGTCGTTTTGTATCCCCTAATGCTGGTTGTTCACATGCCCTGTGAACATTAGAGACAACTGCCATAGAAAGTTTCAGGGGCAGCTGTGTTGTCTGTAAAAGAAGAAGAAGAAGAAACCCAAATCCATCTTGTGGTCATACCTTTATTAGGTGAACCAAAAGGCCCCAAATAGATCAAATTAGCTTTTGAAGCTCACAGGCCTCTTCAGCAGGCAAGGGTGGCAAAACAGCATGCTGAGAAAAATGATGGTCTTGTGGTCCCAAAGCAAAAATATAGCCAGTGATCTATTTTGCACCTTTTGGTTGGCCTAATAAAGAGATCAACACAAGATGGATTGTGAACTGCCCTGAAGAATCACCTCCTGTATCACTTCCTCTCTGAGGTGGCGGAGGTGGCAGCGGTGATGATGATGATGATGATGATGATGATGATTTATATAGCCCCATCTGTGTGCATGGTGCTTTGCATGAGTGATTAATTTGACAGTTCTGTGCTCTCAGGCTTACACAGAAGGAAAAGGGGATGGTAGTGTGGGAGGGGATTAAATCCAGCAGATGTTGGATGCTTTTCTTTCCCTCAGAGTGGCATTTTGGGTGGAAGGAGGGCCTTTTGTCCCTTGTTGAGCCTAGGCATGATGGAGCTCTGACTTTTTTCCAGTGTAGGATGGATAAGGATAGTAGTCTTTCAGAAGAAGAGGAAATGTTCCGATTGCCTAATGTTATGTCCTCCTAAACAGCTGTCCTTGCATTTTAGGTCATTTTCCAAACAAGGCCATGCCTTCAGCTGGAACATTGCCCTGGGTACAAGGGATTATCTGTAATGCCAACAATCCTTGCTTCCGCTACCCAACACCTGGAGAGTCACCCGGCATTGTGGGAAATTTTAACAAGTCCATGTGAGTACTAGACCATCTGTTTGTCTCTCACTCTCCCCCAGAAAATGATTCTGGGACAAGTGTGAAGGAGAGGAATTAGGAAAGACTAGACACAGTTGCATTATTAAGGGTACTGACTATTATTTTCTGTCCCCATGGGACACTCTTCTGGACCAAAATGCAGAAGCTGTGGCTGGCAGGACTCTTGCAAGGGTTGGAAGAGGGTAGTGTGGTAATGTAGTGGGGAGAGGGGAATATCAGGGTGGCACATACAGGGCAATGGAGAAAGAAAAGTTAAATGCAGACTAAACTATGTAGGCTGAGAGAGGTATATAAACTGCTTAGTTTCCACCTATGCATGCCTCAGAGTGCATCAAGAGGCTTGGGATGGGACAACTTCATAGTATAGCTTCTGTGGCTGTACTGTTCCATAGCATATGGAAGTATGGCTGGTCCCTAATACCTGGCAAGTGAGAACACAACTGCAAGGCCAATCTCAACTCATGCAGGCCTCTGAGGCACTACTACTACTACTCCTACTACTACTACTACCAATAATAATAATAATAATAATAATAATAATAATATCAACAGTAATACATTTTTATGTTTTTCCTGCCTCTTGTCAAGGCTGGGTACAGCATGTTAAAATACAAAACACAATTAAAGACACATGTACCCACAATTAATATATAGTATGGTCGCCCCTCCGTTCTCACGGATGAGGTCTGCAGTTTTGAATATTCATGGAGGGGCGACCTGCATTAAAATTAATGGGGCGTGCCCCTGCGCGGGTGCACCCCATTCAAGCCTATGGGGCTTGAATATTGGCAAATCTGTTTTTGCGGGTGAGGGGTCCGGAATGGATCCCCTGCAAAAACGGAGGGCCAACTGTACGTTAAAATACATTCATACAAATGCATAAACAAATCAAAAAGTCACGGTTTAAAATTGACTGGATAGGCCTGCCAGAAGAGGTATGTCTTTAATGCTGTTTTAAAGGCAATCAGCATTTTCAGCTGTTGTGTCTCTTCAGGCAGGTCATTCCACAGTCTGGGGGCAAGAGACGAAAAGATCTTTTGGGAAACTGTTGCCAGTCTAGTCCAGGAACAAACATTTCCCAGAGGACCCACATATACAGGGTACAAATGCCCATGGCTGCTCTTCAATCTTCAAGCTATTGCAGGTGGCATCAGAATGGCTGTTCTTCTTCCCCTCTTTTCTTTGTGGGCATATGGCCAGTTCACACT